TAATATATATTATCATATATATATATATATATATATATATATATATATCTTCATATGTTTTATATAGCAAAAAAAAGTTATTTGTATATAATAATAAAAACTATATTTATTTAATTTTAGCGATTGGAACTTAGTGATTTTGATCGTTTTAAATTAAGAAAAGCAAGACAAATTAGAAATAAATTGAGGACAGATGCATTTTATAGATTAAAAAAGAAAGCTAAGAAAACAAAGGCTACAGGTACCAGTAAAAAAGTTGAAAAAAAGTGATTTTTTATTCTATGAAATAAATACAAAATTATCTTACAATTAGCATTAATTATTTAATTACCTTTTATCTCTATATTGTAAGAAAAATTAATTAAAATTAACAAAAACTCTAATAATAGTGAATTTAATAAATTTATAATTTGTTTATTTTTTAAAAAATACAATTTTCAAGAATATAAGAATAACATAAAATACATACAAGATATATTTCTATAATCTAATTTTATTAATATATTAATAATACATAATACTCTTATTTTATATATTATAATAATTCTATTATTATGAAATAATTATAATAGTAATAGTTACAAAAATGATACTGAACATTGTCACAACTATAAAGATAGAAGAGATGAAAATGTTTTAAAAATATAAAATCTTTGAAAACTACTTCAAAACAATTTATACAAGATATGTTAAGTTTATAATTCTATTAAATACCATCGAATATTATTAATTTTATTTAGTAATTATTCCTTTTTATATCATATTTATTTATTTTGATTGATAATGATTTGACTTAATTATTGATAAATTTACTAATTCTTTACACAAATTTAATTCAACTTTCATTACCTCAGCTGCTTTGGGATATTTTTCACAATAATCAATTACAAATTTATATGCATTAATACTATTTTGCATATTTTTTATTTGAATTGTTTTATCAGGAGTTATCATCTTATTGTACAATCTACCAAGATGAAAGTAAGAAAATAAAGCTGGTTGCATTACTTCATCAGGAAATTCTTGCATTTCAGAATTAGAATTACGAACATGTAAGGAATCAAGAAATGCTTGAAAATTTTTTATAGAATTTTTTGCTAAATAATTAATTTTTGTTAATGTTTGCGGTGAAGGTTTTTCATCGGACGATCGTAAACGATCAAGTTTTATATCAAGAATATCGGAATATGTTCTCCTAATTCAATCCAAATTTGTCTACAAGCAGATTCATAATATTGAGGATTTAATTCCGTGATAACATTTTCTAAAATATCTATTCTTCTTTTATGCATTTTTGCTTGTCTATCTTCATGTTCTTCAAAGAATGACAAATATTTATAAGCTCGAGAATTATCTTGTATAATTAATATATAATCAGATGCATGATTTTCTAAAGTATAATAAGTTTTAGCTTGTTCTAACCATTTTTGAGTATTTAAAAAAACTGATCTAGCATCATCAAAATCTAATAAATATTTATCAGTGATTTGATTGATAATTGGTTCTATCTCTTTCTCTAAAATACTGAACCTTAAATCATTAATTATTTTTGATTTTGAATTTTTATTTAATTGTTTGTTATCCTGTCCTGTTTCATTTTTCTGCATAAGTCTTTCTTTTGATGAAAGCATAAGCAAAATTCCATATTTAGCCCAACATCTAGCAACATCTGCACTTCTATGTTTAAAATTTTCCCATTCAGCTGCAAGTATTTCATTTTCCTCATTATTTTTGGATTTTTGTTCTAATATATTTTTATACTTTTGTAATATATAAGATGCTGCTGCTAAATGATGTCTTGCTTGAAAGAAACTATTATTTTCCATGAAATATTGAGATAATGTTGCTGCATTTAATGCCCAATCAATATAATCTAAATCTTGCACAATTTCATTATGACCTAATTGCTTCCGCAAAGTCATATGACAATATATTGCAGATTGACAATGATCTTTCAAAGAACTATATACTTGAGCTAGATAATATAATGTTAAAGTATTAACTTTTTCTAATACCTCTTTAGGACTTAGTTCATCTTTAATTTGTTCAATACCAAAATTCTGAGCTATATTAATAGGATCTCTACATGGATTATTAATATTTATAAAGTTGTTATAAATTTTCTCTGCTTGATCTAAAAAATTTTTTGCCTTCATAGGTTGATTCCATTGAGACCATATAATACCCAATTGATTTAAAGCACTTAATACTGATATAATAGCTTCTGGTTCTAACTCTTTATTTCTTAATAATTTTATACATTCCATAAATTGTTCTTCACTTGCTTTTAATTCTTCCGTGTCAGCATGTAACAAACCACGATTTAAGTGAATCATAGCAAGCATTATGACTTTTTCTTTTTGTTCCTCCTGTGACATATTTTCTGAAATGCTAATCAGATCTGCTTCCATTGATTTGAACATTTCAATTGCTTGATATTTTATTTTATAAGGTTTACTTTCCATTGTAGTTTTGTCAACATCATCCAACAATTTTCGAACATCTTTAAATTTTTCTCGCACTTTTGTAATTATATTCTGTACAGAGTTGGATTCCATCTCGATTTGTCTTTTTGTTATATATATATATATTTTATTATGTATATATATTTATATATAAATATATGTATATGTATATGTATAGTATGATTTATTATTTTTTATTTAATGTTATTGTGACAAATTTCACGATAATTCATTATCATGATTATCATGATTTTCATGATTATCATGATATTATACGTTGTACGTATTAAAACATAGCCTTTTTATGAAAACCAAATACAAACATATTTGAGTATGTTCAATAGTATAATATAATAATAAATTTATTAAAAGATTTTTTTACTATAAGAAAAAGGAATGTTACACAAAACTATATATATATATATATATATATATATATATATATATATATATA